TGCAAGTAGGTATTCCATCTAAAAAAGATAGAAACTAATGGTCCAAATGTTTTCTTACTAGAATTATTATTTTTAGTTTTTAAATTTTATTTATTTCTTCATATTCATTGTCACCATGTTAGAGATTACATGTCCTTAAAAATTAAATAAAAGAATCCATCTAAAAAATAGGTTTATTAATAGGCCCGTATTTCTACATATGCAGATTTGGCTGCATAGAAACTGGGTCCTAAAAACATTTTTACAGTATACTAAAGCTACTCTTAATGCACACACCAACCCTAATTATATCTAAAACAGGTTGTGCAAACAAGTCCTTCATTTAGCCAAGTTCAGTTAGTTCAGTTAGCCGTTTCAATAATATAATATGGAAAAGTATATAGTGAGATCATGTACCTTTGGTACAAGGTCGTCACAAGTAATCTTGATCATGTCATGTGAAATTGGGTAGTTGCATTTTTTTATTGACCAAGCTTAAAGTTCAAATTTTTTTTTCTCAAACTTTGTGATGGATTCATGCTATCAAATTTCACATCAATTCATTATAAAAAATTGTGACCTCCTTGTATCAATGGTAAATGGTCTCATTATATACAATCCTGAAAATTTTTTATACAAATCCTCATTTTTATACCACTTATGAAATGGCCCCTCACCACACCTGTTTTTTTTTTTTTTCTTTTAAATGGCATTAAAGTTTCCCTTAACATTTCATGTTAACCTTCATCCACCCTTCGAGCCTGTTTTTTCTCAAAATTTTAACATAAATTTTACCATTACCAACTTAATATATGCCAAATAAAGACAACCACTTTTTTTTTATATCTTGCCTAACTTTTTTTTTACCCCTCCTGTTGTTCTCTCCCCCCCGCCCCCCATCTGTCTTTCTCATCGTGATATGCTCGCCCTCTTTTTCTCTCTCATCATGGGCCATCAAGACAATGGTGATCGTGTCTTGCCATGATGAGAGAGACAAGAGAAATCTCATCTCTTTATTTATTGCCAAAAGATATTCCACTCGTGCGGGAGTAGAATATCCATTTACTCCTTCAAGTAAACCCCACTTTGAATTAATTCTAAGACCCATTTTTTTGGGATGTAACATCTTCAACCTGTAAATTAACTTCAATATAAAAGAAATCCTAATTGTACCCTCTATGCGCTTAAAGAAAATAATGTCTCGCAATTTAAATAGAGACCATCTAATTTTTATGTGGTGAGATCCAAGGGTTAGAAAACCCAAATCTCATTTTTTTTTGAGAATTATCATCTAGTAGTTCTTAAATGGTTCCCAAAATTTCAGATCAAAAAATCATTCAAATAGGCCATTTGACCGATGGAGTAAGGGTAAATTATGCTCCCGAGGGAGCATAGTATATGTGTTCTTTTCACTTTTTTTTAGAATTACCATGTAGTAGTAGTTCTTGACTGGTTTCCAAAATTTCAGATTGAGAAAATCATTCAAGTAAGTTTTCTTACCGATGGAGTAAAGATAAATTATACTCCCAAGGGAGCATAGTATATGTGCCCTTCACTAAAGCCCACATCTCAGCTCTACTTATGGAGGAGAAGAAACACATACTAATCTATTTTGAATACTATCCATGATTTTATTCATGAATTTAATCACATCTAAACATTTGGACGCCATAAAACCAAGGGAAACCTATATATGGACCAACGATAAAATCTGGTATTACCCCTGGTCTAAAATTTGGGCTATATTGCATTGAAACCCCATTTTTTGTATTATCTTTTATTTTAATTTTATGTTAAGTTGAAAAATTATGTTTGGATGGCTTGAAAGTCCAACTTTAAAATAATAACAATAAAGTGGACAGTTTGAAACTCCCACTTTTGAACCTAATTTGTGAAGAGTATATAATATTTACTATGGAGAAATATAATTTGATCTTAATTTTTTGAAAATATAATCTTTAACATGGAGATCATGAATGTGGTTGTTTCTTTTTTTTGAAACTAGAAAATTATATTAAAAAAACATTTGAATAGTTAGTTACAATTGTTTTGAGATGGATCACCTATTTGCATCCATCTTTAAGATGGATGCTTTATACCTCTTGGACCACATATTATAGAATTGTGGTCTAGCCTGCATTAAACAATTGTTCTAAGCAAAAATAAAACTCGACTAGTAAAAGACAAGATATATGTTTTGAAAAGGTGTACAATAAGACAGTTTATTTTTGGTACGAGGTGGTCACAATTAATCTTGACCATTGGATGTAAAATTGGGTGGTTGCATTTATTGCATTGACCAAGCTCAAAATTAAAAAAAAAATTCATTTGAACTTTGTGACACACAAAAACTAACAAATTTTACATCGAATGGTCACACATAATTGTGACTTCTTTGTACCAAAGATAAATAGTCTCGTTGTATACATACCTATATATTTTTTATCACTAGAATCCCTCTCATTACATCTACCTTAAAAAAAATCCTTCTGCTTCTTCCATATGATTTGAAACTTAATTAGGAAATTTTTATGGGGGATGTACGAAGGAGTTAGCAACTATCATTTGGTTAGTTGGAACAAAGTTTGTGCACGAAAATGAGCTGGGGCTAGGTATCGAAAAGAGCGCAGCTATTGAGGTAAGTCGTTGCAAGAAAATATTTTGTTAAACTTTATGGTTAGCTAATTAGAAGCCCAAGTCCTCAATCTAATAATATTATTATAAGGGATTGTATAAAATGAAATGGTTTACCTTTGATACAAAATGGTCATAATTCCTAAGGAAAAATTTATATGGAGCCAAGGCTCTAAACAATCAAATTAGAGCCTGCCTCAAAAATTCAATTAGAAGAAGTTGTTTTGATGCCCAAATATCCTGAAATTGATCATATCAACATCAAGATGTATGGATATGAGAAAAAAATGGATTTCAGAAATAGTGTATTTTGTAACAATTTTTGGACTGTCAATTTTCAATATTTTCAAGTTTTTATAGATCTGTTGATCGATATTATTTTTCAAGCTTTAAACTTTATAAATAAAGATGAACATATATTTTAAGGCTATGACAAAGATTTCCACTATTGAAACTACATTTTTCATTACCATTTGAAGGTAGGCTCTAATTTGATTGTTTAAAGCCTGGGTTCTATACCATCCGCACCCTCAACTAAATTATGCTATATACCCTACAATTTCTGTTGCTATAAAACCCCGCTTTAAAATCCAAAATACGTTCATACCCAATCTCTTGTTTTCTCATTTTTTGTTCCAAAATTGCCCTCTTAAGATTTTTTCCAAAGTTAAAAATTATTTGAAATTTTAGATCTTAAAAATCCAAAAGTTCATTTGCTTTATTTGTTTGCAATTTTTCTTTGAAAGCAAGGGTAGGATAAGCTATGGATTTTTCAAATCCAACAAAAAAAGTTTTTGAGTCCAACAAATAGTGCATCTTGCAACACATTATCTAGACCGTCCATATTCAAGATTTTCATATGTTTATAGATCTCCTTGATTTTAACCATTTTTGGATTTTAAAATTTTCTAATTAGATATTAAAATAGATTTTAAGATAATCCTAAAAAAAATTTACTACAAAACTACATGTTATGATAAAATTTGGAGGTGAACTTTAATTGGATTGTTTAAGATTGCAACCTTGTAGAAACTGCAACCTTCTTATATTATTATAAATTACATTTAATTATTGCATTCCACACTAAATGATAAAAAATTGTTATTGGTAATTTAAAATGGTGACTTTCATCATTTGTTACAAGTTATTCATTGCTAACATATTTGGTATCCTTAATGAAATAATACAGTAGACCCAACTCTCGAAAATCTAGATTCGCTTCTTTTATGCCAATTTCTCCTCCATTAAAATTGTTTGATCGAAACACAAAGTGGTCCTTACATTGTACTTATTGATCTCAAATTGTAGAAATATTCAACTCCAGAAAAGATGGTTGTTTACAGTATGAAAACAAGATAAACATGGAGTCATCAGCAAGAGAGGCACGAAGGTTCAAAAAACAAAATTCATGAACAAATCCTTTGTATTTCAATCACAACATCAAACCGCATAATTTTACCATAAAATGGATTCAACCATAAAAACAAATTCATGCACTCCAATTGCTCAGTAATTAAATTTGTGGCATCATAATCAAGATATGTGGTCCTTTAAAACAAACCTATAACAGGCAATCAAAGAAGGCCTTGAATTGCAACCAAAACCATCTATGACAATGAAAATGAATATATGGGTGCAAAGGTACCAACAAATATAAAATAATAAAGGGCTAGTCCTGGTTTTAACCTTCACATTGGGAGCTTCGAACACAAGACCATAAGTTTTGTCGGAGTGGGGCTGGGTCATGACGGTAGTTCCACTTGAGCTCCAACTAAAAGCATAACTTTCATTCTCACTAACAAATTAAAAAATTGACTATTTCAAAAAAAGGCAAGGACATGTCATCTCCACTCACTATTTGAAAAAAAAAAAAAAGAGAAAAAAAGAGACCAAATTCTCTTACATGAGGACATTGAACAATTGATGTTGTTTATACATATTGCTGAACTCCATTAACACTTCTTAAAAAAGATAAGTGGGATAAACAGGCGGCGCCATTGAAAATGAGAGACGAAATTACACAACGAATGAATCATGGCCACTAATTTTCAATCGATCTATAGTCATATTATTCCTCAATCACTAATAAATAAATCAATTAAAATATGAAGACAAGGTTTCCATGCGGCCAGCTCGCATATTGTAGAAATCCGGGTTTGACAATAAATATATTCTTTAAATATAATTTGATCTTAATGTTTAAAGAATATATAATCTTTAAGAGGGAGATCATGAATATGAATAAATAAATAAATTTTTAAAATTAAAAATAATATTTATATAGAAAAAACATTTAGACTATTAGTTATAATTGCTATTAAAAACAATTTTCCAAATATGAATTAACATAAGAATTGTTGAATGAAACACATGGAGAGTGCCACAAGGAGCCCCTAAAAAACAAAAGCCACACACCTAACCCAAAACTTGTCTTGCCCAACGTGGTCCCCCAAAACTGACGTGGACTAACCGGAACAATGACATGTCAATCCATAGGCGAGCTCCACATATCCTTATTCATGACCTGAGCCACCTTCTGACCTGGCGATGGGCCCCTCGACTTGCTGGACCTCGGGGTCCTGTATTGCTGACGTGGAAGCCGAGTCACCTGCTGATATGACCCTAGGCCCTAGGCTCCCCATGGCCGCCTGATGACTGGACAAGTGAGATGGACGAGCCTGGGAAAAGTCAGCACCCTCCCCGTCAAAAAAGGCTAAAAGGTTCGACACGTCATCAAAACTCTGAATACGTGGAAGGGAACTGATCTGAGGGCACTGTTGGCCCCACTCCTGATAAGTACCTGGAGAATCAGGCAGAGTCGCCGGAAAAGTATCGAGAACGTCGCCAACCACTGGACTTGCCGGAGAAGTAACTGGAGGATCAGGCAGAGTCGCCGGAGAAGTATCGAGAATGTCGCCAACCACTGGACTTGCCGGATAAGTAACTGTAGGATCAGGCAGAGTCGCCGGAGAAGTGTCGAGAATGTCGCCAACCACTGGACTTGCCGGAGAAGTAACTGGAGGATCAGGCAGAGTCGCCGGAGAAGTATGTAGAATGTCGCCAACCACTGGACTTGCCGGATAAGTTTTCAGAATGTCGCCTGAATCAGCCTGATAATTCGCAGGAATGTTATTACCCCCTTCCATGGCCCTTAATATCGCTTCTTGCCCTCCTGTTTTCCCCTTCCAACATTTTCTGATTTTGTACAATAAGCCCCAGAGTCCATAAACCATGGCCAAAGTGTATATTCTTGTGCCATAATTGAACGCCTTGGGCGCCATTAGAAATGGTTTTCTTCCTTATTTCTGCAACGGTATACCAGAAACTCAACCACAGTAATCCTAATTCCTTGAACTCAAAGAACCCACTTCTCCAAAGCCCAGACGGAAAGCCCCCACAAACTTTTTATCAAACCTAGAAATCCAAAGATCAAGACCCAACATAAATATAAAACATAAAAGCTCAGAAAACATCAACACTCACATGGATGTTAAGAAACGTGAAATCAAGAAATCAATCAAAATATGAATCAAGAACAAAAGCCCAAGACAACCAACATTTGTAGAGAGAGAGAGAGAAAAGAAAAAAGAATGGTTCCATTTGAAATCAAGAAATCAATCAAAATCTGAATCAAGAGCAAAAGCCCAAGAACGCCAACCTTTGTAGCGAGAGAGAGAGGGAAAAAAGAAAAAAGAATGGTTCTATTTGAAATCAAGAAATCAATCGAAATATGAATCAAGAACAAAAGCCCAAGAAAACCAACCTTTGTAGAGAGAGATAAAAGAAAAAAGAATGGTTCTATTTCCTGTTTTGTTTACTCTATTTATGAAAAGGAAAGTGGTTTCGATCAGGTGGTCATTTGGGAGAGATTTGGAGAGCGAATATCACCTGCAGAACCCCCCTCAGACCTTCTCCTGACCTTTCTTTCTCTCTCTTTCCTCGCTTTCTCTCTCCTGATTCAAAATGAAGGGAGAAGCTTCAAGGACTGCAGAGAGAGAGAGAGAGAGAATACTGTAACAAAGGCTCTTGCAGTAATGGATGTGTGCTTTTTGATTTGAAGAAATCTTTCTTTCCTATGAGAGAGAGAGAGAGAGTAGGTTGTGTTAGTGTAGTAATAGTAAGTAAGTAAGTCTTCGACGTAGTATAGTAGTAGGTAGTGTGTTATTTAGTAGATATATAT